TGGTAGAAGGAGAGAATCAAGCTCGCTTAAATGATTACGCGGAAGCACCCCGGGTGTATTACAAGATAATCCGCGCAAAATGAGCAAGACAAAAATTTCCTTAATTTACTCCCAGCTGCAAAGCTGTCCAAATTCTACCAAATAAGTGAAAAGCAGCAAACAATATAGTATCTTTTCTTTGATCTTAGAGCAACAGTGTGAGATTATTTAACAGGTTTTACTTCTCTGATAGTAAGAAACGATCAAAGAAAACAAAATAAGCTCTGTCGGAGCAGAAAGTAATCGGTCCTTTATATCGCAAAAACTTTTTTTATTTGCGTAAGTTAGGCTAACAAACTTAGTTTAACATATTTTTTCCAACTTTTTAATTTTTTGGTTTGTGTTTTCTATTTTTTAAATTATTATGATGGTAAAACAAAGTTGCATCATAACCATAGATCATTGAAGATACAATAGATGACATTAATAATATCGTTAATAAATATTAAAAACAATAATTGCCCTAAGATTGACTTCTCGGGGATCCCACACTTAATACCAAGAATACTTGTCTCTTTATCATTGACTAGCTACTTTTTATTACTCAAGTAATTTTTTATCTATTTATATATTAGGCCTTTGAGATTATAATGTTTTAATTTTGTTAGTAAAATACCAAGATCCACTATATCAAAAGTCAATAAATACACCCAGTACCTGCTCACCTTTATCAAAAAATTTATATATTATGTTTGTAGATCCAATAATATGCTTAATTTTGAAAACTAAATTCATTTTTATATAAGAGTTGGTTTAAAGTTAAGTAGTATATATTTGATTTTAAATATATATTTGGATAATAAATATTAGATATTAAAGATATATTTGGTTTAAAGTTAAGTAGTATATATTTGATTTTAAATTACTTTTATTTTTTGAGAACCTCGCCCATGTTTATGAAGTCCATTAGTGCTGGCTCCAGCCTCTTAATTCGTTATCTGCACTAAACAAGGTTACAAACACCATATTTTTTGTCATGTTGGAAATACTGCCACGCTGCATTTTGATTACTTTTATATATTTTATTTCTATAATAACTACCTCTTGATAATTAGAATATACACGCGCACACATACACAAACATATGTAATGTTTTTATCTTTATCGTTCAAAAAAAGAGAACAATGTTGTTTAATATCTATCTTTAACTTTAATCTATATAGATTTATGCAATATATTAGAACTAAGTATATAATCTATAAAATGTTAAAAAATTCGTTTTTTTTTAATTGTATCCTCTTATGTTCGAGGGACATATTTGTATAATTTTTTTTTTTTTTGTTCTGTTAATAAGCTCTAAAGTGAGTAATACCAATAGTTAATGTTAATTATATCCTAAAAGAATTATACCGTTAATAAGAATTAATAAAAAGAATAGTAAAATGAAAATTAAAAAGAATATATTAAAAAATTATTTGCGTATCAATCGTTACATCTTTAATTTTTAAAAAACTCATTTCATAATCGATATATTATTTATATTTTCTCAAAATTCTATCTTATTTTGTAATAATTTTATTTGAATATTGATTAAGTTAATTCTTATTTTGTGATAATTTTATTTGAATATTGGTAAAGTTCTCTCTTATCTTGTGATAATTTTATTTGAATATTGGTAAAGTTAATTTTTATCTTGTGATAATTTTATTTGAATATTGGTAAATTTTTTAGAGTTGTAAACATAAGCTAACACTTTAAATATTTAAACTTTTGGTGGACAATTAAATTACCAATTGAATTATTAAAATTTTTAAAGTTTTTTTTTTTTTACGATATAACATAAATTAACTTTGTCAACATATTACTAAGAGTGAAAAATTAAGGTAATTATTATAAGATATTGAATAAAAATTCTGGTATTAACACAGGTAATTCAAAGAACTAACATCAGTAATACCAAAAGTCATTATACAAGTAAATACCGGTACTAACAGTAGAACTAAAACCGGTATTGCTTATAATAAGTACTTTGTATTAAAATAAGATATAGTTAAAATTACAATTACTAGTACCTGATATTTGTTTAGTATTGGAGTAATTTAAAAGTCTACAATACTAAAAAAGTTGTATTTTTTTCGAATTTTTTTTTATACTATATGTACTAATGGTTTTATTTTACAGCGAATAATAAACAAAAAAAAAAGATTGTGTTATGAAGAAGGATATTTTATTATTTCTAAAAGCTTATTTTGTTGTTCAAAATACTTTCGCATGTGATTTAGAATCAAGGTGAAGCATTCGATCACTTGATTAAGCTTCTTTTATATATTAAGAGGTCAATAGAGGTTACCAACTTTCTTCCACTGTCTTTAATGATCTTCTATAAAACCAAGCAATACTACTGTAAGAACTATAAACCAAATTTAAACCAATGTTTCGTGCATCCGCCTATTAGATCAAAATTGATACAATTTTTAACTTTTTGTTAATTTTGATATACCTACTCTTAACATCTTTTGAAAATTAAGCTGAAAAACCTTTTACTTTCTTATTTTAATAAAATTTAGAATTAATAATTGTATTTTAGAAATATTTATTAAAATTTATTTCCTATAATAAAAAGTCCAATCTATAAATTATTTCATTATGTTATTTTCATAGATACTTATTAATTATAATTTTGTCTATACTAGTATAAGGTTTTAACGACAAGATTATAACGATCTATTTTCAGATACGTAGTTTTCAAGGTTGATGAGATTTGTTTACTTGTAAATTGTATTGATTTTTACTAACTCTATATTGTAAAATTGAACTAACGAATCTATACTAAAAGGTTTAAAAAAAAATCATGTTGGCACCTACGGAGAAATCTGATTAGAAATACTAATTCTTAACCTAATTTAGTAAAGTTTTTTAACATTTAACTAAAACATATTTTTTTTTTTGTTAAATTTTGCTTAGAAATACCTTTATGATAAAGTTGCTCCCAAATATTTTTATTTCAATTTCTTCTCTCTCTCTTAAATTTTCAAGTCCACAGTCGTCAATAAAAGTTGCGGTGTGCTGTCAAACAAGGCCGGCGCGAGTAGGTGTCGAGTGGGAAAGGAGGTGAGGTTTTCTTTACGAGTTTTGCCAACTTAAAATAAAAAAGAACCCTAAAATTCTCTAATTTGCCAACTAGTGATAAAAAGTCGATATCCCATTTTACCGACTTTATCTAAAAAGTAAGTTTCAATTTGCCGACTGAAATTACAAAAAGATGCTAAGTTGCCGACTAATGGTGCAAATTCTATTAAATGAGGGGTGTGGAGTTTAAATTTCAACTTTCCCCTCACACACATACACCTCCTTTGCGCCAGACTTTTGTCAAAACCTGTATATGTAAGAAAAATATACGTGTGTAAAATCTCTTAAAACAATTTACTAAAAAATGTACACACGTTTAAATAACGCGACGTTCGAATAATACGGTTCTAGCGAACTTTATAACGAATTTAGCACAACTTTTTATACTCCCTTAAGTTTAGTTTTAGAAAAACAATTTTTAGTTTTAGAAAATTTATTAAATTTATTAAATTAAAAGATTAAAAAAATAATTTTGTTCAATTTGTTTAGAAAATTATTTAATCTTTATTAAGTAATGTAGATTAGTATGAGACAAAATAGCATATCGTGACGTGAGAATTATAAGGTTTCATCCGTTTCTTTGAATTTAAAATACTTTCGGGTTTTTTTTTTTATTGTATTATTCTTATATTCAGTCATATAATTTTAATATAATAATCTTTTTATAATAAATCAATAATTATTTTTATATAACTTTTAAAACTGTTTGTTTTTGTTGATTTCAACTTTAATAAAGTTGGAATTAACAATTAATTTCTGTACCTCAAAGGTAAAGACAAAGGTTGGTTCTCCAGTTTTTTCTGGAAATGAGTATGAGACTTTTTTAGTTTTTTCAGTATCTACACAGAGGTGTAAAGACTGTTGTCCTACGACAATGTGAAACAAAGTTAGGTCAATATAAAAGGTCTTGTATCCATACAATGTTCAAAGGAAAAACGTCTATTGTCAAGAAACGACTTTTTTCCTTTCGGGTGTAATTATATTTCGTGTTCTTTAAGACAAATTAAATAAAATACGAAAAAAATTACATAAATTTAACCATCAAGAATATGCTAATAAAGACTAATTGTTTTACTATTTCTTCTCTCCTGAACAATTTCTAAAATGTGACAACCGACCTTTGACTTCTGAAGTATAGATTTATAAACAAACAATTTTACAATTCTCTCAACACTACAACAGTAAGATAAAACCCTACTAAAACACGGGTTTCAAAGTGGGGGAGGGGGGGCTGGAAATCGGCTATTTCTTTTCAAAAAATATTTTCAAAAGTTCTCTATATATAGAACTTTTAAAATAAAATAAAAAAAAGAACCTTTTGGAAAAAAGTGGGGGCACGTTATCCCCTGCCCCCTTCCCTAATGTCGTTGGCCCTGATTCTAACTTAACGATAAATTTGTTCGACAAATATTCTTGTTACTATTTCCTTATAAAGATTTCATAATCTGTTTGCTGATTGCGTTAGTTAATTTTCCTTTCTTTAGAAAAGTGGTCAATTATTTCATATAGGTTTACTGTTGAAATTCACGGTCTGATAGGCATTTAATTTAAGTTTTTGAGTTAATGATCAAATACAATAGTGCTTTATAAGCCATGACAAATGTGATATATTTATTTTATTATGTTTTCTGAACAAAAATTAATTATTTAAAAAAATCATACAAAAAATTAATTTTTGAATGATTAATAATCAAAATCTAATAAATAAAAATTAAATAAAACTTTTTAAAAATCAGACTTTTTTGGTAAACTAAAAAAGTCTATTAGAAAAAACTTAGAATATAAATAAAAAAATCTTTTGTACCGCTTGATCCATAATATAAAAAAATTTATCAGTCTTAACAATTTTAAGTCGATCAAACATAGTTTAAAAAAAAAACAACAACATATTATTAAACATAAAAAACATATAAAACTCATAGCACAATAAAGTTTACAATTGATAAGTTGCCTCACGCATTGGAAGCAAAGGGACAACCATTTCCAAATATTGAGTTTGTTCCTGAAAGAGTTGGGTTTTTTTCTAATAATGCTTTGAAAAAATCATCTGGTTTGTAATATACGTCAATACTTTCAATTTTCATGTCTTGATTGACCTTTACTATACAAAAACCATACATTTCATACAACTTATTATCACCATTTTGTTCCATAAATGTACCAGAAAATGTACCCCAATGTCTCCATGTAAACACAACTTTGGGTGGACCTGAAAATACTTTTAAAAGCTCCCAAGGAAAAGAGTTATCAAAACAACTTCTGAACAGAACGTGAGAACTTTCAAAATCTTCTTTTTTGGAATCATAAAATTCAGGATTGCATACGTTTAACAGCACATTGTAGTTTCCTTCTACAAGGTTTTCTTCGCCTGAAAACTTTTTCCCACCATTAGCACTTATGCAATATGTTTCGTGGTTTACCGTGTTCCATTGTTGAAAATCGATTTTATGAGAACATTCCATTTCCCATGTTTTGACTAAGTCTTCAACAAACTTTTCAATAGATCCTTCTGGATGGTTCATTGTTTTTCCTTTAAAAAACTCTGAATTGGCACGTGTATAATCGGGTTTTCCTGATCGCCATTTTATGCTTGGATCATCTAAATTTCCACGGTCAGGAAGCAGAAAAGCAATATTTTCCTTTAAACCTTGGTTTTCGTTTTCGATTTTTTTGTCCATTCTCAAATAAAATAAAATACAATTGTAAAACCATAAGCATTTTTAAAAGTGCTTTTAAATACATCTATTAGTTGTATTATTGTTGACGTCAATCCATAATTGGTTTGACAATAAAAAATTTTTATTTTAAATGATTTAACAACCATCAATCTAAAGGTCACACCTTTTATATCTTATTATTCGCTATATCTGAAAAGACCAAAAATATTTTTTTCATGAAAACATTATATAAAGCCTATAAGATTAGGCAACGTAAACAAACTTATTTTTGGACGCTCAGACACATTTATATTAGTGATATAAGGGTATATATCAGTAAGGCTTTTAGTGTGGATAATGATAGAAAAGATAAATTGCGTGAATTTCGTGATATTTTTGTTTACATTTCAAAATGATATTAATCCAAAAAAAAAAAAATGTTTTCTCTAAAACTATCTATAATAAATATTTTTTTATATGAAATTATTCAAAAAAATATTTTTATTTTCATATATAGAACCATAACTAGAGACATAACTAAAACTGGAGTTTGTTTTTTAATCAACTTCTCTCTTTAAATTAACTATAAAAAAATATTCGAAATGCTCCTATAGTGTTTCCAACTTTATTTTGCTCTTTACACTAATCAAAAGAAATAAAAAAATGTAGCTGCACAAAATTGCACAATCTTTTTTAATTCAAAATTTTAACTTATTATTGAAAAATAATAAAAATACAGTTTTTTTTTTGATATACAGTTTTTTTTGTATGTATCAATATCCTTCAAAACAATTGTTATACAAGTATCTACCCAGCTGGCATTTAGTTCTAAAAAGAAGTCATTTTAACATAAAAGACGTATTTTTAGAACCAAATGCCGGCTGGGCATTAAAGTAATGTAACAAAATAGTTTGAATATTCTAAAACTTTAACACAGATTATTTTTTACGCGTGCAGTTAAACGTAACGCACACTTTAACGTATATCCGCACATCTTACGCGTTAAAGCTGCGCGAGAAAAATATTTTTATTAACAAGTTTGAATTCTTTTACCAAAAATCTATTATTTTTACATCTAACGTGTATATTTACGATATTTTAACATTTGTTGAGTTTTTGCCGTTTTTTGATCATTCTGAGGCATTAAGCGAAGGGGAATTCGATAGTGACTAGATAGCACTGTTTCGCTACGGTAAAGACAATTTTGGCCACGAATATCGCTAGATAGATAAATTTGCAATATATTATATCATTATATACTACTTATTCGTATTTATGTCAGGTAGTAAACAATTATTACACGTTACAATAAAACAGCTTTGTAAACAAATTTGACAAAACGCATCTAATTATAAAACACATTATTAACCTGATTTCTATTTTTACCAACTAATAATATATGTTATAGTTAGCTACAATAATATAGCGATACACGTAAACAAACCACAATATTTTAGCTAGTGAGATGGACTTCTTTTAGATTTAATGTTATGTTTTAGCAGGCTACAAAGCTACAATATGTAGGTATCAAATTATTGTTTAAAATAGCTAAATAAAAATCGATATATATATACATATCGTGGGTTTTTTGTAGCCATATTAAAACAATTCTATAGGCTGAAAATTATTATAGCTATGTTATAGATATGTTATAGCTATGTTGTAGCTAGCGACAAAACTACCATATGTAGCTGTCGTTATATCTTAAGCTAAAAGCTATGATATTGTCACGATTATTTCACCGTCGCTCTCGGGGATTGTGAGTTAATGGTTGAAATATTTAGTTTAGACAGTCTTATATTATAGGACAAATCATCTGTATCTTAAACTAATCAAAAAATAGTTGGTTTTTGTTTGCTTTATTGTGACGTAAGAAATAAAAAACATTTCTTTTTTTAGTTTTTTTTTTTTAATTTCTCAAAACATGAAAGAATAATGACTTGATTGTGAAAAGATAGTGACCGTATATAATAAAGAGGTAACTCCTTCTAGTTTTTTTTTTTTTTTTGATTACTAAACATTGTTTAACTATTTTTAGTACTAATTGTAATTTTTATTCTTTTATCTTCATTGTTTTTGTTTGTTAATGCTAATTTAATCATTCTTATCGTTGTTAAGCAGCCGCTGGGTTGTTATTGTAGCTTTATTTTAAGTTTTTAACTAACTTAGTTGTTTTATTTCATTCCTGACGTACAGCAATAAAATTGCTTTACGTCAATATTCAAAAATGACATGATAAACTTCTACTTCAATTTTTACCATTTTACTTTTCTAGCGCTTGCATCCATTTTAATAATATTTTTTTAAAATAATCGGTTTTGTTTCATATTCTAAATAACAAACTAAAATTTTACTTTTATTTGAAATGCTTGCGTAATTTTGTTAAAAATTACGCAATTAAAAAAAATGAAGGGCTATAGCTGTACTTATCTGAATAAATGGGACAAACAGCGTGATTAAACACTAAAAATAAGGTACACTTCTTTAATTTAACTTAAACCTTTTGGAAAAATAGAAACCCAAACAAAAACAAAATACCACATATTTTGCTTTGTCGTATTATATACCCAGTGGGCACCCGACGTCAATCCGACGTCGGATTTACGTACGATTTTCATCAGCGATGTCAAAAGACCTATTCCGACGTTGTTCCGATGTCAGTAAAATGACGTCGGGTGATGTCTTTATCTCAACATCCCCTGACGCCGTTTCGATGTATTTTGACGTTGTTCCGACATCTTATAAAAGACGTCCAAAAAACGCCGCAGTACTGACATCGATCCAACGTCGATAAAAAGACGTCGGGCAACGTCATAATATTAACGTACTCCGATGTCTTTTGACGTCTTCCGACGTCAATCCAACGTCCTTAAAACGACGTCGGAACAACGTCGTAAGACATCGCTGATGAAAATTTAATCCAAACCCAACAATATGTGTGCAATTGCGCTCTTCAATAAATATGTGAACTAAGCGTGTTTTTTATTAATGGAAAGAAGTTTGACCATGGTTGATAAAACATCATGAGGTTTTGTATGATGCACTAGCATAGTTTTTTAACTATTAACATTTTCGAGTATACATTTTTATAATATATAACTATTCGTTTTAATATTTATATAATATTTAAACAAAATTATTTCTTATCAAAGTAATAATTCCCAAATAGCTACAAGTATAGATTACTAAATTAAACACATGAAGTAATATGATTCTGTGGTGTAGTGGTAAGCGCGTATGATTTAGTGCCTAATAGATCGAGGTTCGATCCTTGCATAACGTAACGTTTTTTAGTTTTCAAAAAACACGTTGGATTTACATCGGAATGCCGACGTCGCGCGATGTCAGTTTATCCGACGTCAAATAACATTTCCATTTCCAACCTAAACCCAACGTCGATCCGACGTCGAGATCCGACGTCGCTCGACGTTCGTTCGACGTCGAAATGCCCACTGGGTATGGACCTATTTTAATTAAGTTTAAAATTCTGGTCATTGGTTGATGTAACTCTTGAAGGTAACAATAAAATTAAATATTTTCATAATTTTGTAACAACCACCTACATTTTTAATTCGTCACAAAAGGGTGTAGGAGCTTTATATTCAACTCTTTTGTTTGAATAACTAGGCTTTCTCAAAATTTCCTAAATAGTTTTGTGGTAACAATAGTACTTTTTATGATCAAAATCAAATCTGTCAATTTGTGGTTAAAGATTTTTGAAATTTAAGCCTTCTTATTTTAAGTGTTGATAAGTATTCACAATGTTTTTGCCTTTCATCGTTTTTGACGCTGATTCTCTGGATAAGATATATCTATAAACAGTTGATACAAACCCAAGTTGTTTTGAATGAATCCGCAAAAATATTTGCTAGAAAACTTAAAACCTAATTGTTAGTTATTTCTAGATTGCATTCATATTGCTAAAATTTCGACAAAACATTTGAAAACCTAAAATCTTTTAAAAGCAAAAAGATTTATGCAAGAAATACTATATTAAATATTAAATAATATATTAAATACTGGTTTTGGTGTAGATTGCACCCAAATCAAGACAAATGTTTTTTGACTGCAAGAATTTTGGGCTTTGTAACAAAACAATATACTAATACTATAATTAAAAATAACATTATTTGTTCACATTCGTCTTATTTCACAAAGAGTATTTGAAAGTAAATACCAAAATATAATAGGTAATTAGCAGTAGTGAGATTTAAAAAAAATCTACAAATATGACGACAAAATTAAATTTTAATATTTAAGATAAAAATGTTTAAATAAAATAGGGGAGAGTGGGTAGAAATGGAACACCGCCCCTTATATTCTAAAAAAGATCTGTTCATATTCTTAAAACTTTCTATTGGTATACATTATTTATATATGCACTATTATACAAAATTTATATATATACACACACACACATATATATATATATATATATAATATATATATATATATATATATATATATATATATATATATATATATATATATATATATATATATATATATATAGTTCATCTTTTTGTCTGAATTTATACACTTGTTGATAAATATATAATAACACCTATAACAACTGAACGTGAACCTATGCAAGAACTGTTTTTTTAGCCATAAAAACAATTCTGCGATTTTTACGCCAAGTAAAAAATGTTTATCAACTTTGCTTGCAATTATTAAACTCTATTAATGAATTTTTTCATATTCTACCAACAAGAAAAATATTTATTCGAATTTGAATGGAACTTGAAAAAACTTAATCGAATCACGCTATGCAAAAAATATAAACACAAAGATAATGAGATTAAAAAAAAAACACAAACTTTATTTATCATTTGCATATTTGAGATAATGTTTTTGTAAATATGCAAAAGACTGCATTATGATCCAGTAGATCAAGTAATATAATTAATATATAAATAAGTATGTATTACATTGTAATCTGGAAATATATAAACATTTTACAAAATTATATCTTCAGCCATATGTTAACAGCCACATAAGAAATTTTTTTTTAATTATTACCTAATGGTAGTCCTAGCTAATTAGATATTTATAAT